ATAAAACGTTATGAAAAAAAAGATTTGCTCATATAGCTTGTTTTATTTGACCAAATGTCCAAAATCCAAAGGTATTCAGTTAATTTTCATATGTGACCAAAAAAACATCAAATCCTCACACTTGAGAAGCTGATTGAAGCTTGAGTCAGTATTTTTGCTTGAAAAATGACGAATTGATTATAATGCAGATTCATTTTCAATCGACTTACATCGATTAATTGACTAATCTATATTGCATTTCATACATAGTATTCTTACTCTGAAAATGTTAGTAGTATAAAACCTCGTGTCATTCAATAGATGATAAAGTTACTTCCCAAGAGTTTTTGGCCAAGAAGGGAAAGTGTAGCTATTGAAGGAAATCAAATGAATAAATGCATTTGTATAGAAAAGTCCACTAATGTACTATTCTGCAGTAAGGATATACAGTATAGTGTTTTTTGTACTGTACTGCCAAAGACTGTCCTCTAGAGGTCAATATTTGATAAGTACGTTTCTTACAGCAGGCATGAATGATTACTCACCACAGGACATCTACCACTGTTTCTCTGATATATAAAACATAGTAAATATTTAGTAGATTGTATCGACGTGTACTTGGATCTTGGTGGATCTTTTTTTACTTGGTTGGCACCATAAAATATAGCTGTAAAAATGTAAAAAGCAATAAGCCATATTCATATACTGTATTATTTTGTACTTCATTTATTTATGATTCCATGAAACAAGTATGTTGGTTTCATTCAGAGTTTACATGCAATGCCTTTCTTTGAATATCTTTTTAAATAGTAACAATAGTTTTAAAGATGGGTGAAGATTACAGAGACTGCATATATATACACACATATTAATTTAGTACTAATTGACAGTTTTATTCCACTATTCTCTGCACGTGTGACACTTATGCACTGTGTATTTTATGTACTATGTTTCATATTTCTGTATTTGTGTGTATGTGGTCTGTGATGATATCTGGATGCTGAAAAGAAGAATCTCACCTTTTGCTCCTTTTTGGTTGCAAAGATAAGTTATGAAACCCTTAAGTGGACTGAACTGTTTGTTATTTTGCGCCCTGTGTTGCTTCAACTGTAAACAATGCTCTAGTGGTATGTTGTTAGAGTGAAGCAACTAACGAGAGAAACTGGGTGGTGATGATGACTTTGCAATTGCGAAAGTGCACAGAATATACAGAAAGACGCTTGACAAAGATCTTCTGTTTGGTCTATAATGTCACAGTATATATAGAGTCTCTCTCTCTCTCTCTCTCTCTCTCTCTCTCTCTCTCACACACACACACACACACACAGTCAACGTGGCCTGACATCATGACCAGCAGATGTATGTGGAGCACACGCTGACTGGGCTTTCCGTCACACTAAATCCCCCTCTTGGTTGTTGGGGAAGGGTTGGCTGGTTAACGGGACGGGTCACCTCTTCTCTGCTCAGCTCACCTAATTAACATTCCAGTGTAGGACAGCAGGGCCGCATCCCAAATCCAGCACAGGCACGCCTGGTCCTCCAGCAAAGCCCCCCCCCCCCCATCTTTCTCAGCCTCCATAAACACAGGCTCAGGTTGATGAGCTGTGAGAGGCCACGTCCTCGCTGTTGTCACTGCCAGCATGGCTGCTCAGCGCTTACTCTACTGTACTCTACAGTCGTCATCTGCTAGGAGACAATCCACGACACTTAGCAGAAGATACGATAGTTGTACTTAAGCCTTGCTTTTTAAAAACTTGGATGTCATATCTGCGTTGACCTGAAATGTCTTGTATGCTTTAATATTCAAACTCTAACTTCAGGCTTTGGGCTGCATGACTTGGATTGAAAATGGGGCTTTTTTAAAACTTTTATTCAAGCTATGGGTCACGACCCAAAATGGATTTTGGCTCTCCTTCTGTTAGGATTCCACATGACAAGAGGGGTAATAATGAACTTTTTCCCTAAGAATAAATCTCAGAGAAGTAGATTACATTTGTCCAACCTCAGAAAGTTGGCAAATCCTTTTTCCTGGCGAGGGCATGTACATTTTTTGTCGCTGAAATGTGTTCTTATGTAAATTTGTTGGATCTTTGTAAGGTTGTGTGAGACATGCTAGTGATTAAAGCACTATATATATATAAATAAATGAACTTGAACTTGAACTTGAAAAGGATTGCTGCAGCCACATGTCCCTTCTGGCCGGATCTGGTAAGTGCTATACTTTATGACTGCTGTGCACAAAAGCAGATGTACAATAAGACACATGGTCTCGTGGCTGCAGTGGCATGTTGTGTGAATGAGATGACAAAACCGAGGTCAAGGAGGGAGCACGTAACCTGTCAGGAGTTAAACCGCAAATTTACGGCCGTCTCATTTCAGACCTGTTGCATAAAAGTGAAATGCAGTCCGTCTGGCCATCACTCTTCTTGTCTGTATCAGTGGTCACACATCAACGTCATCATCATCTTAGCGCTCATCTGTGGCTTGTAGTGCTCCAAACTCATTCTTATCGTCTTTCTCTCTTTTTCTTTCCTCCCTCTTGTCCCCTCTTCTCCATCCAAAATTAGCCCAGGCCATGAGATGGGCCTAGAATAGGAGTTCAAGCCCCCACACTGAGCCTCTTAAAGACCACAGCTGGAGCTGGCTCAAAGCGAGACAGAGGGAGAGGGAGGGCCGGATGACGAGTGTTATCGCCACCATCACCTGCTCCCTGTAAAGCAATTTGTTATAGAGTTGTCACTGTAAAATCCATAGCTTGTCCTGGGGTAAAGAAAGACAGGGTCACATGTAATGAGGATCCGAGTGTCGCTCCAAATCCAGATATGACATAACGGAAGGACAAACAGCTGGGCAATGTGTGCGTTTCTGTCTATGTGTGTGATATAGAATAACAGGGGAGAACATCCAGTGACAGAAAGGACACAGGCTTGAAGCCTACAAAACTATAATAAGTGTACAATGTTATGTGAATTTATTTGTTGTTTTGGTATTTCCTGATAAGAAAATGTGTCATTTGGAAAACCTAACATTCACAAACACACTATTTCATCTGGTGTCTGTACTGTGGTATTTTTAGGCAGCTGCACTGTTACTGACCTTTACGTAGGTCTCTAACTAACACCCCTGGATTTGCACTGATTAAAATGACCTCACACTCCAGTACACACATACTGCGTGCACGTAGCGTCTTGTCAGTGTCTTTCTCTACCTGCTGGACGCACACACACACACACACACGGCACCAAGTGACTCACTGAAGTCGCAGGAATACAAGCCAGATATGTCCTTGAGGTGGGTCATATGTTTCCACACTGGCTCGATGAGACAAACCTGTTTCTGGATCGGGACTGTTGATATGAGCTGAACTACAAACATGCACTGTGGTGGCATTACAAGAGAGGTTCAAGTGCATATACTCTCCCACACTGAATCTCAGGCTTGAAGGTAACTTTTGAGTTATTAGTCCTTTTATAACAGAAGAGAACTATATTGGGCCCCATACCAAACTTGGAGAAACCAGGTATTACGGCACATGACAGAAAGAAGCCATGTCAAAGATCAACCACCACAATAATGTAAGCTGCTACTTCTACTGTGTGCAGCTGTTCTTATAACCAACCATATGCAGACAAGTGACTGATTTTGGGACTAAAATTATTTATAAGGCCAAAGTATTTCCTCCACCCATTCCCAGAATTCATTTAATACATATTTATTGTTAAATATTTGTTTGAACTGTATCTTCCAGTCCAATGTGATCCCCATCTTTGAAGCAGACTCCAGCTCCTGCTTCAGTTCAGACATCTTGGATCCAGATGTTTTGTTCTCCAGGACACTCAGCCTCACCCCTTGTCTATTCTCCCGCTGTATGGATGGTATCTTCTTCGGTGCGCGTGTGTGTAGTCTGCTTGCCAGGTCTTAATGGTAGAGAGGAGGTCACATGGTTCAAGTCCTACCTGTTTTGGTGGCACCTGGAAGTTGCTTGACATATTCTTCATATGTTAGCTGTCTATTGACCTAACATTGTCATTCAGCTTTTTTACAGTGTAATCTCTGTATTAATATTTCTGTCTTTTCTGTACACATGACATCTATTGCATGTCTGTCCTTTCCGTCCTACTGCTTTTAATTAATTAATTTATTTTTTGGCAGTTTGTTCTTATCCAAAAGGGTCTAAGGATAGGTGCTTCACAATAATTAAAATCTTAGACATCTCTATTTACAGAACCAGTGTGTAGGATTTAGTTGCATCTAGTGGTTTAGTTGCAGATTGCATCTCCCTCGCTTCCCCTTCTAATGGAGCAATGGAGAGACTACGGTGGCCATGCAACAACAAAGTTGTTTGTTGAATGTGTTTAATTTTGCGAGAGCATTGCATTGAGAGCAGTCACACAGGATCAGCAGGCATATGAAACAATGCCCAAAATGCCCCCTGGAAAGGATTACCTATCTCTATGGAGACACCAAGTTCCTGTTTAATGATGTGTCAAAGCATTAAGGCTTGACCCGTCATAGCTGAAGGTTCCCAAGCAAAACTTTCTCCTCCACACTGAAGACACTGTGTGGCTTTTTGGTTCAGTTGCATAATTCTAGATATTAAGTGTGTTGTATTATAACACTTAATGGTTTTAAACTCAATGGTTTCAAATGTTCTGTTATGAAATGGAGATTTTAGCGTAGGAATGAGCCAAAAATATTTTAAACACATTTCTCTGGAGTGTTTAGAATTTTAGAGAACCGCCTATAATTAGATATAAACGGAACTCTACAAAATGTCCAGGTTTTATACAAGACCCTAAATACTGCTTCAATATATCACTGGTTGTATAAAGGGCAAAAAAGTTGGATGCGTTGATTTTTAAGTAGCAGACATCACAGGCAGGGTTTTTTTTTTTTTTTTTTTTTTCCATCGCGCTAAATATATACATCTCCTTCCCTGCTGTCTGTTGGTCTGCATCCCGCATTTGTAATTTTCTGACAAAGGGGTGGGGGTGGAGGGGGGGTCACAGACAGCTGACGCACCAGCGGAGCGCACGTCGCTTCAGTGCGCATCTTCATTCCAGGCTACCGGAGGAAAGGTGTGCACAATGTCTGTCGCATCCTCGGAAATAGTTCATCCACTCGACTCGTATCTGATTTAATCGACCTGTACCACTTTCGCTCCTGTGTTACAGCACCGGATTGGATGTACTTTGCAACTTCCTGCGGCTTTAGTGGCATTGAATTCGGCGCGCAACAGCTGAGGAGAAAAGGTGATTTTACTGTTAATACAAGACTGTTAGAGGCATGTGAGACGGATCTGCTCACTTATTAATTACATTCTCCGACGCCACTGAAGAATATGGATGCACTGACACAAAATCTGTATGGCATTATCAAACTTGCAGCAGTAAACTGATGGAGTTCAAAACCACTTTTCCTCCTTTTGAAGATCTCTTAGTTCCCCAATGATGGACGGCAGGCAATCGTCAAGGACTTTCATACCTGATTGTGCAGCTTTTGCCAACACATGAAAGGAAGAAACATGTTTTGTCTGGTGAAATCTCGGAGCTTCTCAGGCAGCAGGAGGGCTATGGGGATCAGAAAAGTCCAACATCACTCCAAACCCATCTCCAAAATTTACTTCAGTTTTATTTTGCTCCTGCTCATTTTCACACCGAGAGTGGATTCATCGTGGTGGTGAGTGAGATCTTTGAGGTGTATGTGCAGATATTTAGATTCGTTTTAATTGCAATCACAATTTATCAGTTCATTTAAGAAGAAGTGAAGTTACAGATGCAAGTGTAGAAAAACGGATGCAAACTAAATTTTGACTCTTAAGTTTACCACACACACACACACACACACACACACACACACACACACACACACACACTTGCGTTTCCTTCTGTCAGTTTTTGTATATAGATGGAAAATTATCTTGTGAAAAAGAGAAAAAAAAAAAAAGGGGACCTAACTTTCCACTGGTTATTTGATGAACATGATCTAAAACTTTAATCTTGATGAAGCCATTCTGTTGAACTTTTGTTGCCAACAAACCTCCAAAAACCAGTTTAGTTTATGTCCATACAAAATGTCCAGTCAAATAAAAATGTAACAATGGAGCACTTTCATCTTAGGTCACCTCTGCATGGGAATGTTTGTGCTGATATTAATTATTTTAAACACCGATGCAAAGTGAGATGTTCAGCAGCAGTGTGTGTGTGCGTGTGTGTGTGTCTCATGTGTTTATGAAGATTAATGGTGTTGGGGGGGATATCCCCTATCCATCCATCTTGCCCAGAGTAAGTGGCAGGTGCAGGCGCTGGTGCATGAATAAATGCCCCTTGATGATTTCTCCTGAGGTTTTAAACGCTCGGGGGAGGAAAAAAAAACCCTGAAGGGGTGTAAGCACCCCACCTCCCCCTACTTATCCCACCCACCTGAAATAGTTGTTCTCATGTGTCAGGTCACACTTATAGAAATTGTATTTGATGTGCACTTTATATTTAAGCAACCACAGTGAAGCAGTTCTAATTTTACGTTTTCTTCCTTTATCTCTGATTTATGGCCCGCCACCTCACAACATAGCTGATGGATTTAGATTAAAAATGCACCCTTTGTAAATAATGTTATGGATTGTAATTTCCCAAGAGAGCCAAGTGCATATATGCTATCCTATTTGCCATTGTGAAAACCCTTCGCTGTCTTACGCAAATACTGTGATTAAATCGCTGAGAAATTCCAGAGAAAGAGAGAGAGAGAGACACACACACACACACACACACACACACACACACACACACACACACACACACACACACACACAGAGCAGGAGAGGCTTGGAAGCTTTGTGTCCAGATGATTAATACTTATTTAATCCTGGTTTGTATTGTTAGGGCCTATTTTTAACCATTGCGATAATTTAGATGAGCACCATGTGTCTTCCTGCACAGGACCCCCCCTTCCCTCTCTCTTTCTATGTGTGTGTCCTCTTGGAGACAGTCAGGGGTCTTTTGGCACAGCCGGTATGTACAACACACAATAAACACAAGTAGTGCTTCTGCTCTGCTTTACTGCTCAGGCAGATAGTCGCAGTTAGAACGGGACTGGGACAGCCATAACGGGAGTGGAAACTGCCTGCTACGTCCGTTTCTGTCTCGGTGGCCAGGCGACACAAATGTGGCTGCGATTAGGGACTATAATGATATCCGGATGGAGAGTGGAGCGTGCAGGCTTAGAGAAGGGGGGGGTGGAGGGGGGTCTGCGCCTGCATATGGTTGATCTGTGAGGCTGGGAGGGAAAGGCCTGAGCGGTCACTTGCACTGTAGATGACTGTCCTCATGTCCTGTTGATAAGAGGCCCCCCCAGTGTCACAATACCACCAGCATGTGATCCACCCTTTTAAGAGTTACTACAAAGTAAAGGGATTATGTCTGAATAGAGCAGGAGGCAAAGGCCTGTCACAGGGAAGAGGTGCTTTTCAGTGAACGTGAGGAATTTAATAATCTCTTCTACATCCTGAATATGTGAGTCTCAAGTGGACAAGGGGTATGGATGTGAAGAAAAATAGGCACACCAGGAGGGATCCAATCAATGATCCAGACTTGACATTTTTGGGAGAAATGCTTAAGTTGTTTTCTTGCCAAGAGTTAGATGAGAAGACTGATACCACTCACATCACTAACTATGAAGCTACAAACAGCAGCTAGCTTATGTAGTTGAAGACTGGAAACATCTAGCTTGGCTCTGTCCAATAACAAAATCCCCCTACCAACATCTGTAAAGCTCACCAATACTTTCTGTCTTCGTTAGTCTGTACAGAAAAGTGCAAAAATGTCAAATTGCCATTTTTCAGGGAGTTATGTGCTGGCTATTTCTTCTATCTGACCGTTTATTCCAGACAAAATATAGTCTGGCAAATAACTCCTAATAAAACGGCCATCCGTCATTCTTACACTTTCGTTTTTGTACAGATTAAGCAAACAAGAGTTTTAATTAGTGAGCTTTAGAATAAGCAGCGTGTCCCACACATGGACTTTACTTGGGTGGGCCGCCTGGGTATATTAACAGCCACCTAAGCATATCTGGGGACCAATGGCATTTTTTATTTTTTATTTTTATGTTTTTATCCGTCCGAGAGAACGACGCCATCAGTGATCACGTCATAAACAACAAGCCTCCCCACACACGCAGCTCACCTGCTGTTATAAAAATGGAATCGTGGGTGTAGTTTTTGGCCGACTTTATAAAACATAGTGCAGACGAAAAGAAAGTGAACAGAGAGGGAGAAACAGAAAGAGGCAATGCAGATGGTGTGAGATAGAGACAGGTGTGTGTGTGTGTGTGTGTGTGTGTGTGTGTGTGTGTGTGTGTGTGTGTGTGTGTGTGTGTGTGTGTGTGTGAAAAAGGGAAAAGCAAGGTGAGCAGATTAAAGTAGTGGTAAAATGGTGAAACGAGAGGTAAGAGGTAATAGAAATAGGGTAGTATATTTTCCCGGCCACAGTCAAGTACACTGTCAAACTGTGGGAAAAACTGATAAGCATTTTCAAAAATAACAAACTTTTCCTTTAAAGGGTACTCCAATGATTTAGTACTGCAGTGCCAAAAAGTTGTAGGATTTGTGGGAGGCAGATTCAAAACATGAAAGCAAAAATCAAAGCAGCAGAAGCTGAGTATACTATAGTTCCTTTACTTCCTGCCTGGGAAACACTTCTTTCCAAACTCCAGGGCCCAAGTTTGTGACAGACTTTCCGTCTTACATTAGTCTCTTCTGCTGCGTTCATGTCATATCGTTTAGACTACAATTACTAGCTAAGTGGGAAAGAAATGTTCATGCCAACATCAGACTTGCAATTCTGAGTTGTAGATATCATACATTGCTGACAGGTACAATATCTCCCCCTTATTTTATTATATAATAAACTGAATTACTTTTTCTATGTGTGTAGCATTAATGGACTGCAAACTTCCATTTCAATGTACAACATTGTGTTGTATAATAATAAATCAATGTTCTTGATCCTTGAAAAGAACTACAAAAAAGTAAAAAAGTACCGAACAAACCAGTGGCAAAATGGCTGGAAAGCGTCTGCCAGCTACACTGTTAATGAACAACTACAAATACAAACAAATATATACACACAAATACAGAAAAACTAGCTGAATAAAAAGTTAGCAGTACCTGTAAACATCCCAAATCTGAATTACAGGAGGTTCTCCCATTGTTTCCATTCTGCTGACACTGTCTGAATGCTGCATAAGGTCAAACTGAGATAACCCTTAGGACATCATTATGACATCATCAAGAGTTATTTTCTTAGACTTGACAAAACCTCTCCTTTGCCATAGAAGACAATCCTGTATACCTTTAGACAGGCTAAGCCGTAAGCAGATGAGTAAACTTTGTGTTAAATTGTCGGAGTACCCCTTTAACTTATCATTATCAATACTGCGTTGGCTCAATGCCTGCAGGCACATCAGAGCACTGGGTGCCCGGGTGATCTGTGACAACATTCCCGGCCTGGTGAACAAGCAGCGGCAGCTGTGCCAGCACCACCCGGAGCTGATGCAGTCTATCGGTGAGGGAGCCAAAGAGTGGATCAGAGAGTGCCAGCACCAGTTCAGACACCACCGCTGGAACTGCAGCACGCTGGACCGAGACCACACCGTGTTTGGCCGGGTGATGCTGAGAAGTGAGTGTGCACATGCGTGACTGGGATTTCTATCTGTGTGGTTGTCCGTATGTGCGTGACAGTGGTTGTTTATGTCAGTGACACTCGAGTTAATCATCCTCGTAAATGTCTCTGCTGTTACCAGATAAGCAGAGAATGAATAGGTTTCTTATTGAATCAACCTTAGAATACAAACAAAAAGAGAAAGTGTTGAGTTTTTTTTTTTTTTTTTACCTTTCTCTGGAATGAGGGAAGATTGGGAAAGTGGATTTTCTCCGAAAACAAGTAGCAGATCACCACACTGGTGATGTATAAACAGTAATAGGAGATGTAAATATTTGGGTAGATGTTTCTGGCAGCCAGACAAAGCTTTACTCCCTGACATATCGCCTGTGTTCTGCTTCATTGCGTGAGCAGGAATGAGGACAGGAGGTGGGTGGGAAAGCCAGACCAAATAACCCCCAAAATCTCCTCTTGCCTGAAATGAAAACACAGACCAGTGACGGAGAAAGCTGCCATCTGCGCAAATTAAAAGGTGAAAGGAGAGTCGGCTGGACTGTGATGTTATAGCTGACATGCTGCTACCTCTGTCTGGACCATCCACCATAAATGGAGTGATTTCCCTGCTCCTGCTGTCTGGAATATATTGGAGATAGGCTGCTTTACTGAGCAGTAACACAGTGAACCTGGGCACTAAAAGAACAGACTGAATCTTACCAAAGAAAGCAACAAAACCAGTGCGGTTTCCAACGACATTTACAACACTGTGATTTATCCAATAAAAGTATCCGTGAAAAAGCAGTAAAAATAATAAATAATACATTATTCTCTGATGGTTTTCATTGCAACGCCCCTCTTTTTTTCGCACACCCAGGCAGCCGAGAAGCAGCATTTGTGTACGCCATCTCTTCAGCAGGAGTGGTCTACGCCATTACCAGGGCCTGCAGTCAGGGGGCGCTGACGAGCTGCAACTGCGACAGCGACAAGCGCGGACGAGCTAGAGACAACAGGGGCAATTTCGACTGGGTTGGATGCAGCGACAACATCAATTACGGCATCAAATTTGCAACGTCCTTCGTAGACGCTCGAGAGAAGATGGTGAAAGACGCTCGCGCCCTGATGAACCTGCACAACAACCGGTGCGGTCGGATGGTGAGCAGCTTTAATATTAACACTTGAACTCTCAGCAACTATTATTTTCACGATTCATTAATCTGGAAATTGATTGGTCTATAAAACAAATGCTCATTTCTGTCTTGTTTTGTCTGACCGTCTAAAATTCAAACATGTTCAGTTTACACTAATGTAAAACAAGGAAAAGCAACAAAATGTCACATTTGAGAAGCTGGAACCATAATATTTTTGACATTTTGGCTAAAAAAATTGCTTAAATCTTTAAACGATTCTCCAAATAATTGCTGATTAGATTTTGATTGACTAATTAATTAATCAAATTATCGTGGCTCCAAACTCAACTGAATTTCCAGAAGATTTACTATTTCACAAGATATATTAATATGAATATTGCAATATAAAAGTAAATATACTATAACATATTTTATCCATGTAGACCACCAATAATCAAAAGTGTCCAACAGTTAGGGATTAATTAGTTAGTAATAGTTGCTGGAAGGGTAGAGGAAGAGTAAAATATCCATCTAGGTTCTAAAAAGTCTCCTGACCGCACATATTATCAATTTGCTTTTTTCAGTACATTTAGTTTTAGGGTCAATACCAACATGCTGGGTTGTTTCTCTTTCGAGTCTCTGGAGGAAAAGAACGATAAAGTTAAATCCAGTCAGAGGGAAGAATATTTGGCTAACAACTGTGCTAGAAGGGCTGATCACACCTACATCATGCCACGGGCAACTTCATAGGCTTAACACCCTGTCACCTTTGACCTCTGCTCTAGGCAGTGAAGCGCTTTATGAAGCTGGAGTGCAAGTGTCACGGGGTCAGTGGCTCCTGTTCTCTGAGAACCTGCTGGCTGGCTATGTCTGACTTCAGGCGAACTGGAGACTACCTTCGCAAGAAGTACAACAGAGCCATCGAGGTGACCATGAACCAGGACGGGACGGGCTTTATGGTGGCCGATAAAGACTTCAAGGGAAGCACCAAGAATGAGTTAGTGTACATCGAGAACTCGCCAGACTACTGCCTCATGGACCGCACAGCCGGTGAGTGAATGAATGAAGAATTAGGTTTTTGTACAGAAGTATGATTATGTCTTTAAAAAAGGGGAAACAATCAGGAGGGGTTTCGAAGGGTTCGTTCACCCAAATAATGCACACAACATTTGTGCACACTTCTTGCTTATGCTAAAGTTCTGAGGTGTTTGTAAGCCTAGAACTCCAATAACTGTATCTGCCCATATTCATTTTGTTTTGTAAGAATTTTAAATATAGAACTTGTCAGTGCTGTAAGTATGTAATGACGTCACTATTTCTACATTACTTTTTAGTGCTCAGGCTCTACTTTTGAGTTTTCCACCACAAGTCTGCCACCACCCAAATACATAAGTTGTCAGCATTTGGTTTGTTCCCCTTAAAGCACCAAAAAATATCTGATAAACTTAACGACTGCCTCTCTTAACCAACATGACATGGCTCACCTGGTAGAGCTGGCGCCTCATGTACCAAGGCTGAGTCTTTGCTGGAGCGGCCCAGGGTTTGAATCCAACCGGTAGCCCTTTTGCTGCGTGTCATCCACTCTCTCTCCTCTTTTCCTGTCACTCTTCAGCTGTCACTATCCATTAAAGGCAATAAAATTTCCAAAAGATATTTAAGAAGAAAAAAAAAGATTGATATAGATATTTGTATGCGGGGTGAGGCTTTTCTCCTGTCTGCGTCTGCTCCCCTCTTTCGTACGCTCTGTTTAGACACAACTAACAAATACGAGGAATAAGTACATCATAACAGAATGATTGTGTACTTATTCCAGTGATCCTATTTCTGAGAGGGGCAGAAAAAGCATGGGATGCATATTTCATCATTTATCAGAATCAGATCATACATATCATTTATATAATTTATCAGTATTTCCTTACCAGCTTCGTTACGTGTTGTCGGGTTTAAGTGCTGGCCAGTGTCTGTACTTAGCCGAAGATATTTTGTGAGGAAAGATCCTCCACTCAAGTGTGAGTGGACAGAGCTTCTCAAGCAGTGATACACCTTTTCTAGTTTAATGAAGTAGCTGGTCACATCACATCAATTTCAAGAGTCACATTCTCCAACTTTCATCCATTTATTAATAAGTCAAGCTTATCAACTTTTGATAAAAGTTTTGAATGATTTAATCAGGGCTTGAATTAAGCAGATTGCTACAGCTGTTGCTTCAATGTGTCAGATACATATTTAATCTGAATTTAGGTAAATAAAAACATTGGATTGGACCCGTTATTGACATACCCAATATAAAAAGGACTTTGATGAGGGCAGAAAAACTTGATCAGGACATCCCTTGAATGTACATGTACTATATTTTATTCAGGTTTTATATTAACAAAACATAATCCTGTGATTCAGTGAAGCATTTTTCAGCTTGTGTTAAATATTTGAAGATTTTTAATATAAAATATGGCAACAGAAAATTTCCAATTTCCATTTAAAAGTCCACTGAGTATACTGCTATGAGACAAGTCAAACAGGTGGTTGGCCTTGTGTCCGTTATACAAAATCTTTGACACTCAATGGCTGAAGGCTTGCATTCACTGATTTGACCTTTAACATCTTTAATTCCTAGTGTTTGCGTTGCCTTGTTAAGCTCTGTCCCTCTTCTCCAATCCAGCCCCTTCAATAGAGTGTGAAGAAGTTTACTAACTCACTATTAATAGGTTAGGTAAGATAGCATAGTGCCGATGTGCAGGGGACATGATGGTTAGAAAAGATCCTTCTCCCCTGCTGTTAGGTTGGTTGCACTACTGAGGGGTAATGAAGGTGTGTTCACTCAAAGGAAAGGCTGTCTTTTCTTGTTAAAAGGTGATCTTAAAATAAGCTTATGACCCTCCTTGCCACTAATCTCCATTGTATAGGAATTCACAGCCTAAGGATACACGCTGGCTTATTTTTCAAAACCTTCCTTTGGTCAGTATTAAGCTCCACTCCCTAGAGCCCGAGGGGAATAACTCCTCTTATCCTTTTCTCTTCACTTCAGAGATGCTCTGTTATTAGACGTGGCATCTGATCTTAGGCCTAGATTTCACACCTGAGTACATGGACACCTTTGTGGTTGGCTTTGAGACTATTCTGTCAGCGCATCTGGAAGCCAATACCCGGTTGAAGAGTGTGGGAAAAGTGATATTTTGCTTTGGAAAAACAGTTTCAGTTTTCAGCATCAAAATATCCAATGGTGTTCAGAGGTGGTCATATGCCAACATTAGCGGTTCTGGACTTTCTTAACAGTATGTCATCACTGGAGGTTTCCCAAAATGGAATTAGGCTGAGCAGCTGATACGTGACTGAGACAACCAGTAACCAATACTATAAACAAAGTGACTATAAAGTTACTGTATGTGCAATAGAAAAGGTACACGTCGTTCCCACGTAAAAAAAAAAAAAAAAAAAGGTACAAAGTGAGTTCTAACACTTTATGTCATTGTTGGATCAAATAACTGCAATATCAAAAGGGGTCACTTGTAGTGAAGAACCCACAGAGAATTATCACCCAGCCTCGCTGTCCCCCTCTGCTGCAGGGTTCCATTTTGAGGCTAATAAATGACATGGTGACAAATCGGTGCACAGTACTCGCCAATACCCAATACCTGCATTTTAGGTAGTATCGGAGGAATTTCCAGTACTGGTATTGTATCAGGATAAACTATTCTGCAGACTCAGCTATCAATAACTGTACTTTTAACAGAAGCATGCCTCTGTTTTTAGCTGCAAAGCTCAGATAAATCAACTGTACAGTATCTGCCCAGCACCAGACAGCAGACAGGACAGAGTTACCGACAAACTAATCAACATTTAGCAGCTAAAGGGCCAGTTATTTCCCTCAGGAGTTGGTGGGGACCAATACAGAGTTAAAAGGAGGGTTTATATCAGACATTCATCAGATGGGGAAAAAAGACAACTTCAAATGAATGCTAATATTGTTTCTGGTCTGCTGGATGTGTAAATAAGAAAATGTTTTCAAATTAATCTGCTATATGAACTTAATAATAATATGTCAATATTGTTTACAACTTGAATGAAAGAATAAAAAGGACAAAGAGATGACATTAGAAACTTTTTGTTACTGTTGGAGGACAGTTGTTTGTATGCTGTCCTACTAAATTTAAATTATTGCAACAATATTTTTTATTCATTAAACAACTACAAAAATGTAGCTTTATTTAGTTCGTTTTGGATTTGTTTTTGGGGGTTATGATTAGGTTAAATTGTTTGTTAAGGTGTGGCTAAGTTATTTTAAAAACTTGAGTGCAGGGTAACATTGTTATCATGGTTTGTCTTATTAAAAGTTCTTAAAAAATATAAATAAAACATTTATTTTTTTATGTCACATAATTTTTTTTTCTATTGATGCTAGAAAAAAAACCCAATTTCCTCTGTAACACAAATATATTGCTTTCTTCACAGGCTCCTTGGGCACAGCAGGCAGAGTGTGCAACAAGTCCTCTAGAGGCACAGACGGCTGTGAGGTCATGTGCTGTGGGCGGGGCTACGACACCATGCGTGTCAAGCGTGTCACCAAGTGTGAGTGCAAGTTCAAGTGGTGCTGCGCTGTGGAGTGCAATCACTGTGAGGACATGGTGGATGTTCACACCTGCAAGCCCCACAAGCGACCTGATTGGTTGGACATAACCTAACGAGGAGACCTGCCCAATGACAGTCGCCACTGACTCATTAACCTGTGCGGTAACGACTGCATTTTATTATGGGATATATAATTGGGATCTCTTAACTGTAATACCTCTGGCTTTTGATCCATTGACACTTCCTGAAGCAGATACTTCACGGACCTTGATGCTTAACTGGAAAATAGACCCAGTTACTGATCATGTGCTGCTTTAATAAGTGTCTCTAAGAACAATTTGTTGAGCTTTCTGAAGACAAACTTTGGATCTTTGATACAAAATGGCTGAATATTATATTCTGTTGTACATGCAATGTCTGCTTGTTTTACAGTGTGTAAAGACTATGTGAGCACATGATAGCTCAAATTGATGATCATAATAATAGTAACATTTAGTCTGAAGCGAGAGATAAAGAAAGAAAGATGGATAGATCTTTGGAGGTATTGTAAAAACACTGACATTGTATCATTTAAAATAATTAAGTCATTGTACGGTACTGCAAGAAATCATATAACATACAAAAGACAGTTGCTGCTAATTAGTGCAACTCTAACGAACTAACAGAACGTGGGAGGGAGCTTATGCAATAGTTCCTACTCGAATAAGGCCAGACAATCACACTGTGAACGCAAATGAACCACAAACAGGAGAACAAGCAAGGACTTTAAATTAAAGTGACAGCATACCTGCTGCAGAGCTGAATTTTGGCCAGTTCTTGGGACAAAAAGGACACACTAACAGGAAAAATTAAGCTTCATATGGACTTTGGACTGTTATCTGAAAAAGTTAGATTTTTCATACAGTCTCCCACATGTCCCACTATCTGTAACTGGTCTTACACATTCTGGCTGTGTTACCTTATGGAAAACCTTATAATTTCTACCTCTGGTTCTTTGTCTGCAATTTTTTTTTTTTCAGTGTTACACTGACAGCTTCAAACAATTGCCCTTTGCCATGTTTGGACAGACAAACCTGCTGAGTAAGAAAACAAAGCCCCCTCATTCATTTCAATTACGTTACTGCAAGAAAAAAATGTAGCTTGTCCAGTAAAAATGTTGAATCTGATTCAACCTTTGCTGCAACAAAATGCAGTTTTTCTACAAGGCAAGGTGTTGGCTGAAATTCTACAGTTTACCTGATGATCATCATGGAGGAGGATAAAATCATTTTTGATGTGATGGCTTTCCAAAGTTGTCAATCTGGTGACACAGTCGTACACACTGCTGTGCAGTGATTTGGTGTCTGATACAAACTCATAGATTTATTATTTAAAACTTCCAGGAACCAAACTTTGAACAACATGTCCGCACTGACACAGCCCAAACGTGGCTGTTTTCCATCCAAACACCTGGTTAGCCATCAGGCCTGCAGCCTTTGTTGGTTGCCAAGATTTATTTAAAGTTTCTCTTGGTCATAGTTGTTTCTTAATTTGATCCACTCCTCGTGCCTCTTGTTTGATGCCGTAAACTCTTGAATTCCATGGAAATGTTTATATAAATCTAACAATACTTTATCAGATGTTTAATTTTTTGTCTCTAAAAACCCCTTTCCTGCACCCTGCATTGATGCTGTTCTAAGTTTAGCTTGTAAAGCTACGGTTAAATCCTAACGAGACACATTTAATTATTTTTAAGATTTTAAGTAAGTGTTGGACGCAGGATTTCCCCTTGGATCACTGTCCAGGTGTTTGATGCTCACGCAGATGTGTTCGGTTTTCCTTGGGTGCTGCTGAGTCTCAGTCAGTGAAATGAAACTTTACTGATCTGAACAAAAAACATTGTGTTAAGTTGCGATGGAGGTTCATGATGTCTGTAACTTATGGTGGAACACGGAGCTCATTTTTGATTAGCCTCACCTTTATTACTGCCAGCTTTAACAAACACCACTGCTCTGTGTCACTGACAGTTGCTGATAACTAAAGCTGAACAACAAGACGTGTACCGTAAGCTGAAGACCCTAATTATTCAAGATATTAGAAAGCTTAAATCTACACAGAGGTCCTGTCGCCATTTTCAAACCAGCTGTTATCATACACACACCGTCTCCAATGTATGCTTCTCAGGGGTGGGTTGTATCTTGAGGTTGTAATTTCTTCTCACTGCTTAGTCTCCATTGCAAAGGAGAGCATGTTTCTTCTGTCATCGTATTGTGACAGAACACTATCTTAAGCAACTGTGCTTCCAGTCCTTTGTGCACATATTCACTGGCTCGGACTGTTTTTTTAAGAAGTGAAGTATTTAATGAAACGGGGCCAAGACATTGCAGAAAGAGCAGTGAAGTAGCTGCGGACCCTGAATTTGACTTTTCAACATCTGGTAATGCAGCCATCATCTTAGGCCATTGGAGACACAACCCTCAGAGGGGTTTATAGATCTAAATGAATCTGACAACAAGCTGTGGATGCTGAGAGTCAACACATTTTTTCAAGTCCACGTAATGAGGAGGGGAGCCAAAGTAAAGTGCTTTGAACAAGGCCAAATGACACACCATGTCAAACGTTCACAAGTCAAAAGTTAATTGCAAACAAAAGAGGCTGTTTTGAATGTAAATTAAGAGTATGTTGGCTGTGTTTTTCTTTAAGATTAGAAAGGTGAGAGCTGTTCACACACGGTGGGGGGCGACCTGGGCCTGTGCTGCTCTGGCCCTCAAAAATTCATATTTCAATTCCCCAGTTGGACTGAGAGTAATAAAGCACAATGCTGATGCTTTCAGTCCGTTATGAAATGTATCATTTTATGCCTAAATCCACATTGAAAACCACGGGGCATGCACTGATCTGTGCTGGATTTGGATTGGTTGAGGGTAAATGTCTTAGTTACGTGAATTCATTTGGGTCTATTCACAACTCCAACATAGCATTAAAGATTTACTGTAGTTTCATTTCACCCAATAAAAAAATAAATAAATTGTATCCATTACTGCCATGAATTTTTCACTGTTCAGTTAAGGCCAATGCCACATTTTTATGTCAAATTCAATGTTTTCCTCAGTCAACATTTGGTGCACAGTGTGCTAGTTTTTATTACTGTCTAGGGAGGTATTTGCACCTTTGAAATGCAGGTCCCAAAATACCTTACTGGCTTCTATATTAAACCTTGCTGATCCACCCTCTGTCACTCCTATTAGAGGTCTTCCGTTCTCTTCCAGCTTATATGGTCTCCTGTGTTTTAACCCTGATTCAGTTATGGCAAGGAGAGGACAAAGATAATGCAATCAACCGCGTTGATGTTTTAAAGTTCAGTCAGTTCAGTGTCAGGTAATCCTGAGTATATTTTCCAGAACGAGACTGGCAGTCTGGCTTAGATATACAGATACATCACCGAATATCTCTGAACTTTAAATACAACATTATCTTTATCTTTATCCTAATATCAGGCATACTCTTTACAAAGTAAATTGCTAAGCAATTAGCTAAGCCTTACACACAGAGAGTAGATTAATAATACTTTGTTGATCTTTAAATCTGTCATAGTATCCGTGGCGCTTTGTCCCCCACGATGTGTGATCCAGTTGAACTCTGTAAAAATAACAGGAGTGGCATCGCAGGCATTCTCTGCCATCATAGTGATATCAAATGAGCATCTCAATGTAACAACATTTCAGTGCTAAAATTGGCCCCGGGGAGAGACTAACAGTGTGGTCCGCATGGATGTTTCACATTCAGGGAAACCAGAGAAATGTTGTAATCCATGCTTACAAATCTTACGAGTCAAAAGCAATTCTGTGTTGTGTCAATTTCATAAGTAAACATGTTTCTCTTTGAACTTGTCTGACTAGTCCTCCAGTCCAAAACACTGTACTCCACCCGATCGTATGATTAATATCTATGATGTACAGCGATATATTGATATGTATACATTGTGAAATTGTTCTCTAGACTATTTAGGAAGAGTGTTGAAAATGTTTGGCAAAATGTCTCAGTTTCACTGTTTTTCTTGGAAGAGAAGCTGGCCCTTATGACCCCATCAGCAGTAATTAAGAGCTTTATTTGGACATGAAATTGGACTTGAATATAGCTGCTATAGTATAGTACATTTACTGTCCTGCCAAGTGACATCATACCCATTTGTTACTGGGAGAAAAATCCAGCTATAAATTTCACATACATAAATACTCCCACAAACTAAAGATTATACAATGTACATTCACTTTTTTGCAGCCAGATTTTGGACATCTAACTGGCCGCTTATATCCTCAGTGACATACAATAAATAAGAATATTGGGGTTCAGTCACATGCAGTGGATTTATTGTGCGAATGTACACAACTGATATTTGGCCATTATGTGAAATCTGTTTTATGAAGGCCACAACCACCCGCTACAGTGTGGCAACTTTCCTGACCACAGACCACAAATGGAAAACACCAGCTTGTGAACTGAGATGAATAAATCCATCAACAACCAAGCAGCACATTAAGACAAGCAAGACACTGCCTATGCAGCAGATGAACCTATGCAAATTGAACTAAAAAAAAAAAAATAATGGCTTGAGCAGTGTCACAAAAAGACACTGTTCATAAGCAAGCAGGGAAGCAAGGACAGCCATTAATATTACCTAACACAGAAACAGAAGAGAAACAAACAGCCAAACACAGCCAAGATAGCATTAATCATTAGCTTGTTACTTACCTTGGTAAAGGGAAGTCAGCAAAGTCTCAAAATCTCTGGGAAGAGTTGCCATTACATTACATAGCTGACACGAAACCACGACAGGAAAACAGCTTTGGGTTTAAAATGGCATTTCATAAATGGAGTTCCAGTAGGAGCAGCAGACAGGACAGGCCTACTTTGCTACACAGTGGGCAGAAACCATTTAAATAACCCGCCCTATCAGGGTGCGTTAGATTTATGTACCAGCTGGTAGAATATGTGTCACTTGACAGTTTGGCTTCAGGTGGATGGCTTCATACATTGTGTCAAGCCATCTTCCTTTAGGAGGATCTATTGGCAGAAATGAAATCTAATATATTCATAGGTATGTTTTTTCATTTGTGTATAATCACCTGAAAATAAGAATCATGTTACCTTAGAATGATCAGTTTTTGTCCTCTTCAATGAAGGCTGCCATGTTGTACCGCCATTTGTCTACAGTTACCAGAAACGGCCTTTCAGGTTTATGTTGGTCACTGTAGTTTCTCCTACACGTATGGAAGGTGTATTCAAATTGTTGCAATCTGCAACTTCAGCACTAGATGCCACTAAATCCTATAGTCTGATCCTTTAAGTGTGTGTTGTTTTTTGGTTTTGATTACTTTCTTTTTTACATCCTGGATACACCAACACCACTGAGTGCTCAAGATTTATAAGCTTCATTTTTAACACAGTTATCACTGGGCGGTCATCAGGTTAAACCCAACTACACTACTCAAAGAAATTAATTAATAATATTAAAATGGTATGGCCAAAATAAAATAAATAAAAGTGCACTGAGACCAAGAAATAATTAAACATAGAACAAATTGAAATTTTTTCGCCACAAAAGTTCTCTAATTACTTGTCTAGTTTTTACACACTCCAAGCAGAGATGTGGCATACTCCTGATGATCCAAATTATGTCATTTTGGGGTACTGTATTATATTCTTTAACCAAGGAAAAGGAGGATGTCCTCTACCTCTAACACACCTGGATAGCATGTCCTAGGAGACCTGGCTGGCCAATCCATCACAGAGATACCTTAATTCTGTCTCAGATTGTCTCATATTGAAAACATATTTCAGATTTCTTGGAAGAATCAGTTGAAACAGACCCATGGACAGACATAACACACTTACGGAACAGTATGTTCTTTTGATACCAGAGGCAGATTTTTATTATTTCATTCTGTGTGACCTTCAGGGACCCACTTGGCAAAGATCCCAGGCCACAAGAGTTCATTAATTCATGGTGCTGGTGAGCTTACTGGGCTGGCAGCAGGGTATTAACACAAAAAAACTCTTGCACTGGAGATTTTAAGGGTTATTGTCTGTGTGGGATATGATTCGCCACCTACATAGCTTTCCCACACAAGTATTTGCCCCAAATCATCATTTTATTTTTTTATTTTTCTTACTAACCCTACCCACTATGGCCATAAATGCTGTATATGTCTCTAACATCTCTTCTCAAAAAGGGCATGAGGAGATAAAAGGAAACTCCAATATACTGTGTTCTACTGTTTCTGTATTCTTGCTTTTTTTTTGCTCTGCTGTTACCCTGACTTTGATCTGCCACAGAAGTCAATGAGCAATTCATGTTTCAACATGCAGCATGAAACCACGCTCTGGCACTGAGAGCAAACACTTGAGCACACGTCAACAGTCCTCGACAGCGATTTTCATTACTGCTGCTCGCCACTTAAGCATGAGTGTATGGAGTATGATTATGGCACCAATGGTTCACTGGGAACATGCCACATAAAAGCATCTGCTGATGGTGGTGGAGTGGCGTTATCACAAAGATGGCCATGACGGCTCTTGGCTTTATATAGAGCAGTGGCGGGGCGGCAGAGTGAGTCGTTTGTCCTTGAACAAGATACCAACTCCCCGTCAATTCAGAAGTGATTTTAAAAGATGAACGGAAATGACATCCACTATAGAAAAGTAAAGTATTTAAATGTCTCCCACTTTATGTTGAAAAAAGTTTGCTTTGGAAATTACCTGTCTATCCATGCCTGTAGAAATTGTTCTTTAAATTCCCAGTTTGGGGTTTGTTAAGTTTTCAGTATCTACACATTAAAAAATAATAAAACTGAGGTAACCTTACGAAGCAGCTGGACTCCCGAGATCAGGTTAGCTCTTGTCAAGCTTCAAGCATGATGCATCCAAGTAAGTCTATCTGCGGATTGCACAGTACAACAGGACACACCTACTACATGATAAACTCTCTAAACGGCCGCAGTTTGGTTAGGTTTAGGGACCTTAAGTTTAGGAAAAGAAAGGGTTCGGGTAAAAATAACTACATTATCTCAGGAGGCATGTTGTGAAGTCTGTGAGACTGCAGATAGACCTTTCTTGATCAATCAGCGTCCTATGAGGAACTACTGGTAGCTAAGAGCTACTGTTCATTTGAAGATAACAATGGCGGCTCCATATGCAGCGTGGATGCTGCTATGGCACGGTGTTTTCACTCTTCTGCCAACTGGCTTCCTTGATCTGACTGGTTGAGGTTCACCCATGATAGACAGTATTTTTTGAAAGTGCTTAAAGGATGACTTCCCAAATGATTCTGTGTAACAAACCACGTTGCATGTCAAGATAAAACTGAGGACTTCCAGAACAAAACATCAAATAAAAATATCACAGCAGGTAATTGCACTGAAAGAGTAATTTATTGTGAGTTTTGCTTTCAAACTCATTCAAGGGTATTTACTGTTCAAAACATTCTCCTGTCTTCAGCATACTCTTACATTTCAGCTGCACACTATAAAATTAAGACATTTCAAGTGTCACAAATTTAAACAGACAAATGTTACAGGCCAAAATGAAATGCGAAACAGAATCTGTGTAGTTTAGAGTAGATCATGGTTATTGAAAATATATTCCAAACTTGCAACATATTGTAATAACACACACATTTATGTGCCATTACATCATAGCCAACTTGCCATTTTCTACTTTTTCACAAGTATGTTTGCCACTGTTACTTGCCTGCTTTATGTCGTAATGCTAATCGCTGGGAAATCAACAATCCTGTTATAAATTACAATGTTAGATGGCATCCCTTTATCAAATTTAGTCCATCAAAATTGAACAGAGTTACCACTATACTTGACATCAATATTGTAGGTACAGCAAATGCCGAATTGGTGTGTTTAAATATTGTGATGTGAAAGGCACTTTAATATCACTTTTTATACGTGTGGAGTGAAGAGTTGTCAGTATAATGTCACTTAAAGTACATCCTGGGGCATGAACTCTACATTGTTGTATCCAACAATA